AGCTTGCGGACCAGGCCAAGGGCTCGTTTCTATTTGCCTACCTTGCCAGAAGGCTTTTCTCCGCAGTCTCGGACTTTGGAGTCTTCAGAGGCATCATCGCTGGCTGCAAATCCGATGTCAAAGCCGTCATTGGAGAGTTGATGAAGAAGGTCAACCTCAAGGAGGAGTACGGCGAGAGCAAGACCTACAACCTATTCACGTTCATGGTCACCGCCCAGCGCCCGCTCACACTCGGTGAGATGACAGACCTCCTGGGAGTCTCGTTGTCGACACGCACTGTTTCTTCTGGTGCTGATGTCAAGGGGCCTGTAAGCAACACCCAAGGCCTTGTGGTGATCCGCCACGGCACTCTGCGATTCAAGCACTCCACCATCAGGAAGTACGTCCAGAGCCTTTGCGGCTCAACCCTCATGTCTCTTCACGACTCCCACCGCCACCTCACCATGGCCCTCCTTCTCTTTGCCAAGACTAAGTTCAGCAATTATACTTGTGAGCCGTCGATGGAACTGGTTGCCGAGGAGACTTTCCATGAGTGCTTCCAAGCGTACCACATCGTCAGCTACATGGTGCGCCACTGGGTTTCCCATTTCCGCTCATCGTCACTTTGCGGCCAAAACGGCACCATCACCTTGACTTCCGAGTTCAAGGATGTTTTTCCCGACTCCATCTTCTTCACCATGCTGGAATGGCACTACTGGCAAACACAGTACGCCATCAAGGAGACCATTGAGATGCACAGCTTGAGTCTCCGGATCCGTTCTACTTGTTTCGGCGAGAAGAACCGATCATACCTCCAAAGTCTCATCATCCTCGGAAGTCTGCACCGGAGTCAGTCTGAGCATGCTTTCGCGGCCGAGTTCTTTTACAAGGCTTCGCATCTTGGGCAGACTATCCTTTACAAGTTCAGCCCTCTCGTGGTTTCATGCACGAACCTGTTCCTCACTTGCACCGAGACTCTCACCTTCACCAAGCGCACTCAAACGGTTACGCACCGTGAAGAGATGATCAAGTTCATGATTGAGATCTCCAAGAGCAAGCAGGGAGCCCGCAGTGATGCCGTCATCAAATGGTATGAGGCGCTCGCTAAACTCTACATCGATATCAAGGAAGAAGAGCTTGCGATGTCTATCTACAGCGAACTTCATATCATAATTACCGCCCGTTTCGGCAAGGGCTCGAAGAAGGAGGGGTCAATTGCCGAAGCCATCTCAGGCATGACCGTCGTTCTGAAGGCTAGCGACAAGAAGATCCACAACCATAGCCAGTGGCACTCGCTCTTGTTCGACACTGCGGACGACTTGTCGTTCACCGACGTCCGTCGCATCAAGATTCTCATCAGCCTAGCTGTTGAGTATGAGTCCAAGGGCCACCTAATTCAAGCCGAGAGGCTATACATCAGCCTCTGGCGGGGCATTCTCGAAGTCTGCCGTACTAGCAAGGTGACAATCGAGCTTCACATTCAGAAGATCAACATTGCCATCGAGTACATCAACTTCCTCAAGCGCGTCAAGCGAACGGAGGAGGCTTGCAACATCATGATTTGCGTCTGGGCCGAGTACGAGAACCAGTCCTTTGAGTCCGAGATTATTATGATTCGCCTCAGGGAACTTGGTATTCTTGCGAAGTCTTTCGGCATCCTCAGCGTATCCATGTCCATCCTCAAGAAAGTCTGGGGCTGGTTCAAGGAGAGGAAGACTGTCGAGAGCGAAGAGGCTCAATCCACTACCACAATCATCACCGAGGTCGTCGAGGAGATCACCGAGACCTATGTCGAGACCAAGACGACCACCACAGTCGTTGAGACCGTCACCAGGGAGATCTGGGAGACCAACTATCAACGGTGCCGTGGTCGCAAGGCCGATAGAAATTTCTTCAAGTCTTGCTTGGCGATGGTCAACCTCTATCTCAAGCTTGAGAATTGGGCTGAAGCCGAGGTCGTGATTCGCCAGTCTCTCGAAGTCACTTGGAAGGGCGTCTTGTCAGTCGACTCCAAGTTGACCATCGAGGGCGAGTTCATCTCCGAGCGCATACTTGTCGCACAGCGTCTTGCTCTCTGCTATCATCGTCAAAGGCAATTCGAGAAGGCGGATGCGATCTATCTCCGGATCTACAACGCCTGTTTCTCGACCCTCAAGGCTGACAATGTGTTGATCTTCGAGGCGGCTGAGGCCCTGGTTCAGTTCTATGAAGACTTCCACCGTCACGAGAAGGTCATTGACATCTACGTCAAGCTCCTGCAGCATTACCGTAAACATTTGTCATCTGGTCACAGCCTGCAAGTTAGTATTCTCTACAAGCTCGCTGCTGTCTACCACAAACTTGGCCGCAGAGAAGCTTATGACTGCTACGGCGAAATCGTCACCATCTTCTCCAAGGACGGGTGCTGCCATGGAAGTGCACTAGATGCAGCCATCATCGTCCTGAACCACTATCACGCTGAGAAGCGCTGGGCTGAGCTGCAGAAGATTTGCGTCACGCTCTGGGCCACGTTTGTTCATCACAGTCGTGAGATCAAGTTCACGCAGGAGATCGTCGAGCTCATTTACGAGCGATACCGATATGTCCTTGAGTTCCACGCCAAGGTCGAGTTCTCGGTTCGCTACAAGCTCACGATTGAGTATCGCGAGACCGCGACCAAGGTCTTTGGCGCCAATGCTGCCATCGTCATCAAGGCTTTGATCGCTCTGGCGGAGCTGTGTGAGACTTCCGAGGAGCACTACCACGAGTCCATTACCATCTACGAGGAGGTTATCAAGAAGACTACGACCACCAACGTTATCTCAGAGACCACCGTCAGGACGATCAAGAAGCGTCTATCGAAGCTCTACGTGACTGTCATCACAACCAACAAGGTGACAACCACCACAACCATCGATCGTGCGATCGGAGTCAGTCTTGAGATATACGCCCAACTCAAGATTGAATTCGGCTGGTGGCACGAGAAGACTCTGTCCAAACTCAAGGAAGTTGTCTTGCTGTACAAGAAGATTGGTAACAAGGAGGCTCACTCCTCCATCGCCCAGCTTCTACAGGTTTCTATCATTGAGATCATCACTACTGTCAAGATCTCTATGAACCTCCATGCGTCAGCCAAGACGCTGGCGTCCATTTACCTGTCTGCGGGCATGGTCCACTATGGCCAGGATCTTCTCCGACAGCTGCGATACCTGCTTCTCTTCCCTGGATTCGAAGGCGGAGAGAAGGATGTCAACATCAAGATCTCCGGCCAGTCGAGCAAGGTATACCTGGTATTCTTGATCTCGTTTGAGCAGGCTCTCAACGGAGATGCCAAGGTACGGTACAGCTTCTCTGAGCTGATGGCAGATGTGCTCCTCGAGACAGTTCTCTACGAGCAGTACATGTCTGTTATGGCTACGTGCACCGATTCGACAAGGATCGAGACGATCATTGAGCCAGCAGCCCGCCTCCGCTTCGTCTGGCAGTCCCGTGGCCGCAACGGTTTCGTGGACGTGCTTGACAAGAAGCTCTTCGCCCTGTTCACCTCGCGTTACTTCAAGTCTTCAAGCTCCCAAGACGACAGGAATGCCAGATTCGCCTTCTACGTCGCGCTTCTCAACGAGATCGGCGGTGGCATTGCCGATAGGGGTACTGTCGACTTTGGTCTGGTGTCTTGCAAGGCCGCCTACACTGCTGTCAGAAGACTCATGGTTGAGGAGAAGGACTTTGTCAGAGCTCAGAAGGTCGCGCAATGTGGATTTGACTTTGCGCAATCCCAGCGATTCTATCACCAGCGCAACTGCTACGTTTGGGGCTTTCGTTTCGCCGAGGTCCTGGCTGGCATCCGCGTAGACACGTGGAAGTCCGCCGGCAAGCAACAGCAGGATGAGCTGCTTTCCATCAGCCGCAACATCTTGCAACATGTGTTGACGGTCTTGAGAGACGATAAGGTCGAGTTTACTAGCCTTCGCTTCGAGGACATTTCCGGACTTGTTCGCCTCCTTGGCGAGCAGAAGAACTGGGCAGAACTTGAGGTAAGTTTTATACAGTCTTCAACGACTAACAGCTTTGTGCTCTGTACTAACTGTTCCTTTCCAGAGCCTTCTTACCTCGCTTTGGCGATCCAGAGAGGTCCAACGCAACTGTGGCGTGTGGTCTCCTGATATCGTGCTGACAATCGGCTCCCTGTTGGTCAACGCGCACGAGCTTGCGGGTCACCTAGACCAAGCCATCACCCTCTGCGAAACTATCTACTACAACGTTCGTCAGTCTCGTGGTGGCTTGGATTCTTCCGCATTCTACTTCTCGAACCGCCTAGCCTACCTCCTGCGCCACGCCAAGCGCCTTCGCGATGCTGGACGTGTGCATCTGGATGTTGTGTGCGATCTTGACGAGCACCTTTCCGCAAGTCAAGGCGCGGATAAGGATGAGCGTCTTCGTGCCGCGGCTGACATGCATCTCGACGGCATGCGACGATGTGGCTGGGCCACCCGCGGTGACGTGAGAAACACAGGTGAGATCCTCGAGAGACTGAGAGGATATGGTAAGCTCAACGTGCCGTCCATTGAGAATTGGTCGGCAGCGGATGAGAAGAAGGAGACGAGCCTTGTGTGGCCCGAGACGATCAAGTGGGATCTCGGTAAGCCTGAGACTGAGGTCCAGGCGCCGAAGAAGAGAGATTTGTTGTCTCCGGCCAAGGAGCGATGGAGTCGCTTGGGATTCAGGCGGCTCGGGTCCGAGGTGGCGCACTAAATTTGGAGCTGAGATCTTCTAATTTGGATTATTCTGCGGGTATGTCGAGAGCATGAAGGAGTTTCTGGGGAAGTTTACACATCGATCAACACTGGATCACGTCACGTTTCTTTGAGTCATGTTTCCTTAGGTCTATTTAAATCAACGCTGTCTAAAACGCTAATACCGCAATTGATTCGATCAATATGTTTATTTATTTATACGCGGACGATGGCTGTAACGATTCTACATATTTCTGGACAACTGGATTCTGGGGCTAGTGTAAGGTAAACCATGATCCATTCGATGCATCATACCCCAATATCCAGGTTTTGATCCAATATCCTCGTTTGAATGTATCGTTCCAAAGTCTTTCCAATACTCTCGGAGCCCTCGCGTTCGAATTCGAATTCATGAGCATACGAGCCGTCATTCTTCTCTGTTCCGTAACCCACCCCATGAACGCCATCTTGTAGAGTCAGCCCCGCAGCCAAAAGCGTGCCCTCAAATTCCCAGAGGTTCAACTCCTTGTCAGTGTCGAATACTGGATTATCGGCGTTCATTTCTAGGTGGGCCCTGAAAGCCTCCGTGTATCGATCGACCCAATCGTCATAGGCCTTGTACCATGTCTTGGGATATCTCTCTAAGAGGTCGTCGTCTTCGACAGGCTCGCCGCAGAATTCGGGATTCGCGGGCCAGTTCCAGACGTACCACAGGAAATTTGTCCCAAAGTCCTCCCAAATGCAGTATTTATATCCTGGTAAAGAAGGCCCGTACTCTGGTAGAGCTTCTGATTGGTCGCCTGGCTTCAAGGGATTCTCTTCATGAGCCTGCACCGACCTCGATTCTGTCCGTGACTGCTCGGTTGAATTTTGCTCCTCCGTTGGAGACAGAGGCTCGTCTCCGACCTGGGCGACTGGGACTTGTGGCTCGACATGTACTGTTTGTGGCTCGTTGACCGACTCCTGATCCTCCGTCTGGGACAGGGATGCGGACGTAGGCTGGATGGCTGATGGTTCCTCTGGCTTTACTTGCGCTGTCGTGTTGGCAGGGAGTGACTTCATCTCCTCCTTCAGGCGGACTTCGAGAGAGTCACCTGAGAGCTCAATAATAAGGCCATAGGGGGTAGTAATAGAAAAATAGATTTCAAAATTAGAATGTTCAGCGAGTGCTAGTAGTGCTTTAATAGATTTGAATAGAGGAGACATTGTAAAGTATTGATGACTTGATGGAGTTCTGAAGAAATGAGATGTTGATTAGCTTCAACAAATGACTGATCTGTCGAGAGATAATTCACATATTATTATCGTGAGAATAGGGGAATGAGGCCGCCCGTTGCTGTGCTAAAGACGCCTGGCAGCAGTCAGAGCCCACAGGTGACCCAGGCAGGTAAAGTAGGCAGCATTGTCATCCATGCTTATTATGACACTTTTTCCACTTGCAGGGGGTGACGGCCAGAAGACCTAACCAACAGACCTAAACAACAGACCAAACCAACACCGATTGAGATATCAAAATAACTGGAGTGAGCGCATCCCAATTTTAGGAATTTCCGAGCGCTTAGGGTGGAATACAGGAGCCATGGGTTTCCGGGTCCGCTCCCAGCGCCTACGTGCGATGAAATGCCTGAAACCATAAGCACCAACTGGCGAGGAACTAGCAGAGCATTGCTCACAACAGGCCCTTCCAATCAGTCTACAAACCTACCTGTACCGAAAGACGCCAGCGCTTATAGTAAATTGGTATCACGCCGTAGATAAAGCTCACCGTGACTTGCACACTTGAACATGCAAAGGTAAAGGGACCGATACCTCTTCCATACTTACTTTACTAGGTAGTTCATGCTGTTTGCAGGTCTTATCCCGCCAACTGCTGGATAGCATCAGTGCACCGTCTTCAGCCGTTCTCTAAGTCTATTTGGCATCGATATTCGCCTCTACCATTATTACAGTAATATAGCTTTACTCCGGAGTTATTCATAGGCGGATCCAAGTAAAACATGGTCGGACTGTATGTTTGCGTACGCCGTCTAGCAGTTGATGGGATGACCCGGTCTATGGAGCGAAGTCGTCAGTGTTGAACGTGGTCTTCAACGTAAAGCACTTGAGGCGCCTTCGCAACAGGCACTGGTAAAGTCGGGAGCAAGAGAGGTAGTAGATGCTCGGCGACGGCGACAACGCGCGGATGTAAGCGCTTAAAGAATCGGCCGATGGTTGGAATGCCCTGAAGTCGATCTTTAAGCGCTTGGAAATTTCCCAAAGGTGAGGCGGCCTCCGCAGCTGGGTTGGGACCTTTAGAGGTTGTTAGTTGGGTCTCTTGTTCTGGCCTTGAGTCTTTTACCCCCTGTAAATGAAAAAAGTGAAATAATACTACCTCTGACTGTTCGCGCTGACACAGCCACGGCCTCAGCCCCAGTTTCCTAGATACTAACTAATACAGCCAGTATTCCTCAGCCAGTTTGTTGCTCAGACGATCCGCAACCCTTCATTTTCAGAACTTCATCACATCCGCACCCTTCACTTTTCACCTTTCAATGGCTCCTTTCATCGCATCCATTAAGGCGTTATTAGCACTTACTGAACACTCCAATTTTGATGTTCACTTTTCTATCACTACCCCCTATGGCCTTGTTCTTAAACTATCAGGCGACTCTCTTCAAGTTCGCTTGGCGGAGGACGAAGACCTGCTGTCTGACACCCCTACGGCACTGGCCGAGTCCCAACTTCCAGTCACTCAGGCCCTCCCCGAGCCCCTATTTAAGGTAGAGGAGGAAGATTCCGTCCATGAGCCGCCAGCAGATACGCCTTTGCTCCAAATACACAAAGAGGGACCCTCGGGGTCGGAAGATCAACTAGAATCTGAATCTCAATCGAACGAACGGCCAGAACCCCAGGAGAAACACGGATCTTCCCTGCCAGGATACAAATACTCCATTTGGCCAGACTACGGAACCAATTTCATGTGGTGCACCTATGGGTGGCCCGCGAACCCTGAAGGCGGCGACAATATCGACGACGACGACTTGAAAGAGAGATATCCCGAAGCGTGGTTTAACGCTTATACGGATTGGTGGAAGCAGTATACTGAAGCTTTCATAGCCCAGGGGCTTGATCAGGGTCACGATAATCCACTGTTCAAAACTGCCGAGGAAGAAAATGTTTGGAACATGGAAGGCGCGCTGTTGGCTACATGGCTGGCACTGCAAGACGGTGTGCACGCGGTCAATTATGCGCCTGAGAATGTGGACCGTTACAAGTTCGATTTTGAGCGCGACAGCATCGAGAAGACTTTGGGAAACTTTCTTCAATCCATAAAGCTGGATCAAAGACCATTGTAGGCGGCAGCTGGGCCATGAAACTCCATTAACTTGGTTATGCAACCGCTCAGTATGTAAAATTATATCAATCATCATTGGGATGTGGTACATATACGTTCTGTTGCGAAGAAGAATACAGAAATCATGGATTCAGACGATGACCATAGAAATCATCCCTACCACAGAATGCAATAAATCTGTGAAAATCCTCCGCCGCATCAATACCGATCAACTTAGCCAAAGCCACAGCTGGACCTTAAGCTTCCCATAACACATGCACTGTTGATTCAAATATATGAGTGAATGCGACAGTGAGCAGTTTTACATGTATATTCTTTGTACCGCGGGAAAAAACTTTCAACACTAGATAGGTGTAGGTAGGGGCTTTCAAAATAGATTGGATATCTCAATGCCACCTTGTTTTTACGTAGGTAAGGCTCGCAGACGTAGTATTATTGGCCGTAACATGAACGCCTGCTCGAAAAGTACTGTCAACGTCGTCTGCAGCATTGCTATTGGGTTCTCTAACCCACATGGAACTACTTCTGTGGCTTTTCGGAATGGCCACGGGTACCTGCGCAGAGCACCACTCCGCTCTTGCGTGAGCTAATAGATGTCTATTGAAACTGGTCTTCCTAGCCTAGCTTCGAACTCTCAAACACGAACCATTCTCCAGTGTTAGTGTCATTGGTCAAGTTAGTCTGCTTCGTGACGCCGCCTTTCAGGTTCCCAAACTCCACGCTGCCTCCACCAACGGGGCGCCGTAGCTTGTTCTCCCCAGCGAGGACCGTGAAATTTGCCAGCGCGATCTCGAGTCCGTTCCTCGTGGCGTAAGTGGGCAACCCAAAGAAGGTAGCGTTGACTGCGTCGTAGTCGATGGTCATCTCAAAGTAGCCGCGGTAGTAGTACTCCTGCCACTGCAGCTCTGGGTTCGCAGCGGTCATCCAAGCGCTTCTGTTAAGAGCTTTCTCCTGGGTGATATTTTGACCTGCCGATGAAGGCGAGGTGACGGCTGTGCCGGCGAACTCAACCCCGATGGAACCGGCCCCAGTCTCCGAATTGTAGTCCTTTTCGCCAAGCCAGACAAGGTCACTGACCCACGATGCATGACTATCGCCGGCCAAAAACACTGTGTTGTCGATGCTGTTATCGTAGAGCGTCTTGAGCGTCCGGTTTCGGTTAGCAGCGTAACCGTCCCACTGGTCGTAGTTGAACGGGTTCTTGGGTCCATTGGAGATGCTCTGGTTAATCTTGCTGAAGACTACCTGGTTACCAACGACACGCCATCGTGTTGTGGAGGCTGACTCTATGAGCTGACGGTAGAACCAGTTTTCTTGGCGAGAGCCCATCAGTGAGCGGCTGGTATCATCACTAATAGTATGAACGTAGCCTGTGTTCCAGTATAGGTCGGTGATGGAGCGATCGTAGTTGCGGGTATCGAGCATGATGAGATTGAAGAGGTCGCCGAACTGGAAGCTACGCCAGATGCGTAGGTTGTCGTCCATATCAACCTGACGGAGGGGCACTTGTGGGAGCAGGCAATGTCAGCGTGGACAGCTGGGAGATTTTGTGTCGTGAGGCAGTTAGGACTCACTCCATTCGAAGTATGCGCGCACAGCATTCATCTTGCGCGCTTCCACAGATATGCCGTCGTCTTTGATAAATGACTGTTCGGTGTTGTTCATTGCTGCGGAGCCGTCTCGGTAGGGGTTGTCCATCACCTCGTGGTCATCCCAGACAGTTATCCAGGGGAACTTTTGATGGCTAGCGCGAAGGTCAGGGTCGCTGCGGTACTGGGCAAGGCGTCGTCGGTAATCGTAGAGCCTAAGGGTGACCTGAATCAGTCATGAATCGTTCAATAGATAGGCGTTAAGATTTTACGCACGTATGACATGAGCGATTGGGCTCGGGGACGCGACCCATGGAGTTTCCCCATCCTAAGCCACCGACGGGATACTCGCCGTTCCCATACTCGTAAATATAATCGTCGAGGTGGACGATATAGTCCACGGAGTCTTTCCGCTCGGGATTCCCGTAGGCATTAAAGAATCCGAATGCTAATGCAAACACATTAGCTTGGATAACATAACTACATTGTTTTAACATGTAGTTCAGCGAATAGCTCACGGTAGTTGGCACAGCTATAGACAGCTAGCTTAATTGCCCGTCTCACTTTGGTACCCGACTCCGGCAGGGTTCGAGTTCTGCCGACAGGGGACTTGACATCGGAATTGCAGACATTGAACTGGTAATCTGCTTAGCGTTAGATCACGTCTTTCGGCCTAGGTTGCTGAACCAACAGTAAATCGTGAATGGCTTGAGAGCCTTTGCTTCAACCTGTGGTAGAGTAAGTGATTGGAGCTTTGGGCGTCTACGTAATACGCGTCAACTAACCTTGACGGTGAAGTCAACATCCGAACTCGTATAAGCCGTCCCTGACTTAATCGGTTGCCCATCCATGGATGCAGACCTCCCGATCTTCCAGTCAACGCAGATTGGCGACTTGCTTGCCTTGACGAAGACGTCGTTGTCATGAGCGTACATTGGGGCGGTGCCCTCAACAGTCACGTTGCTGCGACGCGGCGTTGGGAACTTGTTGACCCCGTTCACCTAGGTATGTTAGATCGTAGTGACTTCTTACAAGCAGCGTCCCGAGAGGACCGAGTATCCATTGATGGAAGGTGATTGGTATCCACAAAGCAGATGAGTCTGAGCGTATATGGTACGGGTTGACAATCTATGCTGGAC